CAACAAGTATGAAATATATGCTTTTTATTTATTTATTTGTAGGTTGGTTAAGGACGCCTGCGGCAAGTGGAATATTTAAGGTCGAACAGATGGATAAGAGATGAATGGTAATTTGAAAAGGATTTGAAGTGAAGCAGTCGTGGCCTTTTCGCGGTACTATCCCGGCATTTTTCTGGAGGGACTGAGAAAACTGCGAGAGCCTCAACCAAGACAGCCCGATGTCCCCTCTCAGATTCGAACCCAGGACCTCATAAATAAGAGTTAGGAGTTGAGAGTGTTGCCGCTACGCTAACCCGCTTTGTTGAATTGATGTTACATAAGCTAATATTTATAATCACAAGACGAAGACAATGCTAGACGATCCTAGGATGAATTGGAAAAGTGGAACATTTTGTGGTTTAGTGAAAAATTATATGTGGAATTTTCGGAGAATCAGGGTTTGATTCTGAGCAGGTTCATAAAATACTTCTTTTCTTCACAACGCCCGTACTGTTTCTGGTGTCCACACATCCTCATATCAAGTAGATGTGTCCTTTTCTCGAGAATATGGCAGCCGGAGCGTGAAACTAACCACTCATCTCTGTCTCGTATGATGGTTAAGTATGTGTGGAGATACACTTTCACACCTTCACAGTCTTCATGGACTGATAATTAAGCACAGAGACAGTTTAATCTTTGCCTATATTTCCGTTAAATCGAAGGAATTCCTTTGTTTTCATTTTTCCCCCCCCCACCCCTGGCACTACAGCCCCAGTGGGCCTAGGCCTACCTCCATGAACTTCTCCGTTCAATTCGGTTTTTCTAGATCTTAGACATTCGGTAGGACTCCTTGGGCGGGTGATCAGCTCGTCTCAAAGCGTCTCAAAGCCTCTACCTGTACACAAACACAGAAAAATGCACACACACACAAACTAAACATCCATGCCCTGAGTGGGATTCGAACCCACGATCCCGGCTTCCGAGCGAGCGAAGACAGTACATGCCTTAGACCGTTCGGCTACCGTGACCGGCGTTTGTATTCTTTACTTGCTCAGAAATCCTCTAGTATGTATTATAGGATAAATAATGAACACTTACAGATATATTTAACGTTCAGGGTGTACGAGATATTTGCTGCACTGCCGTCTAGGTTTGTGTCAGTGCGACAGCCAGTCAGTTGAAGATGTCACCGGAGCTTTGTGTATATAAAATATAATTCAGACAATGGACAGCGTCCGACTTCATTATAGTGCGAGTGGTCACCCATTTTCATAGACTTTCAGAGAATGGTAAGAGCTATTCATACCTGTACCTCTTGTGATGCAAACATTCGACCGGAATTGGAACACTGAGGGAATATTGAAACGCAATTTCTGTGATAAAACTCTTGAATAAATTGGCTGTAAGAAATCATTGTTCTTATTGGGCAAGAGCAGAGATGGGTTGGATCCTTATGAAGAAGAAAAACAATCAGCTTATTTAGCTCAGGGTTTTCCAGATATTTTGTGTTCTGAGGAAACTGTAAGATGACGGTGTATTGGAATGGGAGCCCGGAAACTTCGAGCTGAAGAGCCAGGGGTTTGATTCTACGCAAAGAGAAAGGGTCTTCCTGTTCTCCATTAAGACCAAACTTACTTTGGGTCATGGCCATCCTACTGTCAAACCGTTGTTCTCCCCTTGGAAGTTGAAACAGTCTGAGCGTAAACCTGACCATTGAGTTACAATGTCGAAGTTAAGGATATGCTGAACTCTACCTCCACGCCCGCTATACACATTCACAGCGTGGTGTCCCAAGTGGAGTGCCTAGCGTATAATTCCAGCCTGTACCACTTTTACACACTGCTAGTCTTCCTTTATTAGTTCGCTTATATAACGACGCTGATTCAAATCCACACGTTATAGTGGCCATTTCAACACATTTGCGTTCTCATGGGTGGGACAAGCCCAGGTTTTTCTAGGTTGATGCCATATACTCTGGTAGATGGGTCACAACGTTACCGGGGGAAATTTCACCTATATACGAAAAACCACCAAGTCACATCTAACGTAATATTTATTATTATTATTATTATTATTATATTTATTATTATTATTATTATTATTATTATTATCATTATTATTATTATTATTATTATTATTATTACCTCTAGACTACGGAGGCCGCTAGCATGCTCTCTTACTGGTTATTGTTCCAGAGCTCTGTGGAGAATTAGAGACGGTGCCCAGCTTCGAACACAGACTCAAGCGACACAGTGTTTCATAATTTCTTAGAAACATTAACAGTGACATTGCGGATTTATGAACTTTTTAGATGCGAGCAATAATGTTCCAAATACAAATAGAATTCTAAAATGATGTATGATAATACACCTTCGAAAACACGCAGTTCATTTCGAGATAATTTGTTTCAGAATGTAAAACAACGACGTACTGATCTACCTTCGGGTCTGACAGCGATAGATAATTAATGATTGGATGTAAACCTGTAGAGAGAGAGAGAGAGAGAGAGAGATGATAAACATATCTGCATATTCTGCACGAAACATATAATTAATAACATATTAACTACAAACCTGGACACGGTGAAAAACATTGCGTTTATATCAGATAAATATAACATAATTTGAATGCACATTAATGTCAATCATACTGCATCCACTGATTAATTTTTAGTTCATGCTAGTCTCATATTGAATAAATGAAAATAAACTGGGCATTTTAAGCCCTTCCTGGAGGCACTTGAATACATTTATAACTGTTTGAAGCACGTCAACCTTATAATTCATTCGAATACTTGTGACTACTGGTTATATTACTTGAGTTTGGACAGCCCTAAATTATGGCACATTTGTCTGGGAGGAGAACGGTTATTAGAGAGAACTTTTTCGGAATATACAATTTGCTGCACTACACAAGTAAATGCTATTCGGTTCCTCTGTTCCCTGTTCCTGTTACCAGGAAACATAATATTTACCTCATTTGCTGAAGGAAATTGCCTTGAGATGTCACGGTTGAGCGAGCGGTTTAACCCAGATATCCCTGCCACCCTCATTCCATGTCGAACGTGAATTTCTACCCCGCAGTAAGTTGTCTGTTAAATCTGAGACAGAACAACAAAAGAATGTTGAGAAAGCTTCTCGTTGTCTTTAAGCAACATCCGGCGTATAGAAACTGCTCTCTTTTGAAATGTAATGCTGTACAATTTGGTAGAACGTAATCATCGTTTCGGAGAATGTTGTTGTCTCCGGCTTCACGGCAGAAGAGCTCCCTGAAGCTGGAGACAGTAGGTTCTTCCGAAACGTTCTATTGTAAAGGAGGGCGTCACAACCCGGAAGGGGGGTAATCTTTATTGTTACCCTCGAGAGAACCTCAGCTATTGCATCGAGTATACAGTTCGTATTTTAAATTTGCTTAGCAAGTAATTTCTAATGTCTTCTAACCATATTTTGGTCAAATTCCACCATCAATTCAGTCTCTGCGTCTCCCACACCTTCCCAGCCACTCTCATGCAGTAGGACTCTATGTTCTGAATACTCGTTCTTAACCAAACATGTAAGGAAATGCGATTCCAAATGCGTTCTTTTTGGGTTTTGCATTCCTCATGGGGCTTGATGGTCAGTTACTGCAAACAGAGATCTGTTGTTGCGAACACTGTAGATGTCGCGCCACAAAAAGCAGAACATATTTTCACTTTCATTTAATAATCACTATATTGAAATTAATTTCACAATAAAATTGTATGTTAATGACAGGCCTGTCTATATTATATCCTTTGTAATTACTTGAACAATAACAGGCTTTTTATGAAATCGATAAATTCCATTACAGTTTTATGTGAAGTAAATTAAATTTAAACCGTCAATACTCAATTTAGGTTCCCAGTAAGAAATTTAATATAAAATCATTACCTATTGTTGCAGACAAAACATGCAGACACACGTACAGGTATGATATCCCGAATATGTATTTGTTACATTTCCAAGCCCCTCTTGCAAAACAAACACAGAGAATCCTATTTTGGAGAGTAATATATTGTAAGAGACAATTTAGCTAAATAACGGCTAAGTAAGGAATAAGATTATAACCGTAGTGGTAAATCAAAATTACATACACGAGAAAATCTATTGTAGACTAAAATCGGAGAATACCACATGATGCTCAGTTCAGAAGCTTCTGTCTTCCGTATTTCTTCTGAAAATATTAAAGCGTCCAAAATTATAATATTATCTGCTGTTTGCATGCAGATCACAGTGGCCCGCGGTCTAAGGCATGATCTGTCTTCGCTCGTTCTAACACTGGGGTCATGAGTTCGAATCACACTCTGGGCATGGATGTTTGCCTACGTTTATTCTGTGTTTGTGTTGTCCTGTGTAGGTAGCGGTCTTGCGACGGGCTGATCCCCCGTCCAAGGAGTCCTACCGACTCTCTATAAGATGATGAAGAAACTGAAGTGATACGGAGTGTTTCATGAAGTCCCTGTGCTCCAGTGGGAGCAACAGGAATGTGAATGAATGAATGTTGTTTGCATGAAATTAAATGTGGTCTCTCGCCGTAAAAATATAAAGCTATCCCTGTAACAGGCCGTGGAGGCCCATAGGTTTACGAGACGTTGAGGCTCCCACATTTTCTAGACAGTCGACTCGAAGTTGGCGGTGAGGTTGTCCGGCGTAGGCGCCGGCCGCCCTTTACCCCCAGTGCCGCCGCTGTGGGAAGCCTGCGACTAACCGCCTGAGCTATGGCGCGGCCTTTGTTATAATGTTACTAGTTGCTGAGTACTTGTCCCCGCTATACTTCGCCCTACTGACAAGAAGTTTCGCTGACCAAAGACGAAGACCACATGTCTGAATGGAAACTTATTGCACGTGCACGACGAAGAGAAACAACGCTAACGCCAGTTGGTTTATATATAACCTGTCTGCCAGCGAATTCTTTATGTATCAATGTCATGGCGTCACTGCCACATACGAACAAGTCTGATTTTCATTGTAATAACATATTAATTATATTTTCTTTCTTCATAGGTAATTATCATTCTCTACTTTTCAAGTGACTTGCAACTCTAACCATCTTACCAACTCCTTCGCGTGAAAAGTGTAAGTTGAATTTTATAAAATACCAAACCTTCATGTGACACTGAACGGAACTGCGAAAGCGCAGTATTCAGCAATGGTTCCACATTCTGACTAAACTATACTTAAGCCAACACTGAGATTTTCCAAGAACTGGAACCCTAGCTGTGTCACATGTGTACTTAACATGATAATCCACAAATCTTATTACACAAATCAGCAGTGACATGGCAAAAAAATAAAACTAACTTAAGGCTTATTCTGACATGCTGAAAAAAGACGTCATTTTTGTTATCATGTCGCAGTCTTGTATATTGAATTTTGAAGAAGTAATTGTACATGGCTTTTTTTCTTATGTGTTTTATCTTAGTGTCGTAATTTTATCAAATATAATATGAGCGTATAGTTTTATTACGTGAACGGTGAAGTTCATGGAGGTAGGCCTAGGCCCACTGGGGCTGTAGTGACAAGGAAAAAAAATTATTGCTCAATAATAATAACAATAATTTATCACTATTAAAATAATGCTGTTATTTCAACTTATTTCAACAGATTATAACAAAAGCCTATGTTTATTACAGCTTCCAGACTGTCAATTATTTGAACAACGTACCCGACTTAGTAGGGACACGCGGTAGCATAGTTGGTTGAGGCAATATGCTACAAGCCGGAAGGTCGCGGGTTCAAGTCCCGATGAGGTCATTGGATTTTTCCAATTGACCTAATCCTTCTAGCCGCACTATGGTCCTGGAGTCGACTCAGCCTCTAACAGAAATGAGTACCAGGAATATTCTTGAAATATTCTTGGGGTCAAAGGTCGCCCGGCGTGTAAGGCTGACAACCTTGCCGCCATCTATGAACCGATTGTCTAGAAAATGTGGGAACCTCAACATCTCACAACCCTATGGGCCTCCACGGTCTGTTACAGGGATAGCTTTGCTTTTTTAATTTTACCCGACTTAGTCAAAGGCACCTTCTCTCATTTGTTATCGAAGAAATAACCAATTTTACTGGACTTATATATGAGCGACTGAAAGGTACAGTATCTCTCAGCGAACTCCCGTGAAGTAGAGGTTAGGGCTCAGTATCTGCACCCGCCGGAGTACATACCTATGCCACCTACACATGTCACAGTTTTGCGCAACAGAACTGTGAATTCGCTGTTGCTTCTGGTCTAGAATTTGAAGTGGGGGAATGGCCTATGATCCTCAAAATGCCGTTAGCAACTTTACACCAACAAACCTTGACTATCCGCAATTCAGCTCTGAGGTTGCGCCAATGAATTTCCACTTTAATGGATCATTGAAGAAGTACTTCGAAAGGAAAGCTCTTCTGACATGAAGATAAGGTGATGGTTGAGGTGCGCAGGGGTGCAAACACTGAGCCCCTATTCATTCTCTGCTCGAGCATTTCTCAGTTGGTCTGGTCTGGCGACTAGCCTACGTAAGGAAATAGAGGTAGTGTCTGATATTGCAATATACACGATTATGGCACGTTCTTACGCGTTACGTGCTGAGCAGCCTCACAGTAAAATCCCGCAGTAAAGTAGTCCTAATTCTTATAGTAAAAATTATAAAAGGAAAATCCTAAGGAAATTAGACAAATTATAAATGGAGAGTAAGAATTAGAAGTTGTCGATCCGAACAAATTTTTAAGACCATAGGATTTACTGCTCTTCTAAGCAAAAACGATTCCTTACCACGTCTTTTTGCTCACTGGATTTAATCATTACAAAGAAATATCGAATATTCATTGTACATATTAGGCACTTCTATAAACCGAGAAAAAGAACGCCTTATATGAAAGTCACATTTGTCCGTCTGTGGCTTAGCAGCACCACCTAAATATTTGTATAATTTTTATTCGAATTTATAGAATTTAATTGGAACCTGTCACTGAAATTCTGACGTTCATGTTGTACCAGACCAACACTTAATTTACACGTTTAACTTGTACACCGTTAATCAGATTTCCCTGACATTCGATATGAGACGGTTATGACGTTAATTGACCACATAAATTTTTATTTATATCGACTAATTGTAGAGTTTACTTTGTATGACATCTCAAATGAACCTTCTTATGCAGGTTATAAACCATTATTCGAATTTTGCCCACTTTTGATACTAGTGGTCTTTGCATAACCTTAGTCGGGCAATTGGTTTTCTAGTTGTACTGACGATTGCAGTCAGTTGGCCATTAACTGACCTCTGTCTATACTATAAATATTTTTACATTTCTTGTTGTAATTGCATAAGCCTCTTTTTGCGTTATTACGTTGTGAAGTAGAATTTTGCTCGTTTTATCTAACAGGGTTTGTGTCTAGTTGAAGAGCCGTTTACTCGTATATACCGACCACAAGTAAGCTTAACGAACTGCGGGAGCGCTTTTGGGAATTTTGTGAATTACATTATGAAGTATACTTTACCATGTTGCGTTATGTCTACTGATGAAGGGCATTCGGCAGAATTCCTACGCATCAGAATAATTCATTTTACAGTTTTCCTTAAAAATTTTGCAAAATTTTCTACCTACCGAAATCCTCTTGAAAGAAATTATTATTTTAGAAAGTGATAATTTCTTTTCAAGAATGAAGCAAATTTAATATTATATGAAGGAGAATACATAAATATGAGGAGACAAGGATGAACTATAGTAAAGTTTACAGTCAATTCCTATTTGCTTGCTTTTACACGAACTGGTGGTATTATGTCATGTTGAATACAAAATATATGGCGCTCACACCGGTTACGAATATATTGCTGAGGCGAAAGATTATTTCTATGCGTTTATTGCGTACAGCAACATTAGTACGAATTTAGTTAGTTGGTCCAGATAAAGCATCATGAATTTATTTTCCCTGACGGAATAATTCTGCATGTCTGTCAAATCTACTTGGCAAAACTGTGGAGCTCACATAATTAATGGGTTCCTGGACTTTGTTCATCGTCCTGTGTTCTAGAAACTATAAAACACAGCATCTCGGAAACTGTATCTGTTTCCATCCTCAGGTGAGGAGCTGAAGAGATCTACCCATTTGAGTCCCTTAGAAAGAGCTAACCTCAATCACTGGACTGGAAATATATACTAAAATTAATTTTAGAGAAATGGGTTGTTAAATTTGAAAGTTGATTCGACTAGCTCAGTAGAGGATATTTTCAGGATTTCGGTCGGGTTTCATGCAAGTAAGAACATCCTGAACTGCTGAAAATCAGTGGCTAAAGAACCGTCTGTTTTATGGAGATGGGTACATGTAAAATTAGTGCATGGAGGCTATCCAGAATTTTCAGAAACGGGTGCAAAGAGGGTTTCTTTGGTTCAAGGGGCAGTTTGTTATTCAGTTATTACATAAAATTCTGAGCCAGAGACTTTGTTAAGTATCAGTAAATTTTTAGACTATATGTTGTACTTATGATAGTACACGTATTATGGGCTAAAGCGGATATGTTTACCTAATTTTGAAGCAGGCTGTATTTTTAATTCAGGACAAGATTTTATGATCTCCGTGATTATATCGCCTCATTCTTTCCCCATTTAATTAAAAGCAGAAGATTGGTATGTACATTGGCTGGGATGTGAACATACACTAATCTCGTGAAAGCTTACACACGCATAAAATACAATGGGGAATATATTCTTCGCAAAGGCTCACTTTACATGCTACCTATTATTATCCATAATGTGTACTATCTTTATCCGTGAGTAGTAATTATGCTTAGCACCAACTTTAGATTTTGCCCACAAAGTCTTTCTCAATAATAAGAGCTCGTGCTCTCTTAAGCATTAAAGCCGAAGATTAGGCATAAATGTAAGAACACAGCTGGCTTAAAGTGATAATTACTTTATTCCAACCTAGGCCTGTAGGCTTCAGCTACTGCATAACTGAAAACCTTTTTGTACAAGTTGCTAATTACACAACTTCTAAAAAAAATCCTAAATTTGTGGAACCTGAGCTTCATCACTGATTTTACATAGGTCTGCAGTTCGAGTCTATACCGAACCGGCATATCCCCATGAACATCGTCACACAGAATTGCCAAAAGTTCAGTTTTAATATTATCTTCAAATTTACGCCTAGGTCTTCTCTTCCCATGAGGCGAAAAGAATATTTTATTGTGAGGGCTGAAAGCTTGAATAATTTAACAAGAAAATTAGCCCATTGCTAAGCAATGGCTCCCACCTCCCAGCCAGGAGACTTTCTCAACCTCTGGTTGTCTCCGATTACCTGCCTAAAAGCTCGGCTTCCACTCGACTCTCGACTGACTCAGCCTACCTGCCTGCTGAATTGCTGCTGGTCCTCGTCAACACAGTGATGTTTGGTTCCGAGACCCACGGAACTCATGACCACGTTGTACTGTCTGGCGGGTCTGGGAGCCTTCAGATCACTGACTGACCTAGCTGTATTCCGATTCGACAGATGTAGTCTTTGAAATGGCTGACTTCTGACATTTACTTACTTACTTACTTACTTACTTACTCATGGAGCTGAGCCCTTATTGAGGAGCCGCCAATTCTGCAGCTACTCAAGAATTTCCCAGCATTTTATGGAACCCGAAGGTTCATTACCGTGTTCACAAGAGCCCTCCACTGGGCTCTATCCTGAGCCAGATATATCCAATCCATAGACTAAAATGATTTTGCTAGGTGTTTTGTATGGTTTCGGAACCTGAGCTCTTACTCTGAAAGAACATAAGTTACAATGTTCGGGAACTAATTCCGAGGAAAATATTTAAATGCAAGCGACATGAAGGACGTCAACATTGATTGATGTTACATAACAAGGAACTTCGTGATTTGCAGGAATATGGAACGTGCGGTATTTTTAGTGAAGGAGAATCAACGGAACTATGGGCTGTGTGGAAATCTCATGTAAGGCGGCCACTTGCTAGACCAAGAACTAGAGGTAATAATATTAATCTAGGGGATGTCGCCTGCAATGATGAGAGACGAACGTAGCTGGCTCTGAATCATATCCAGTGGTGGGTTTTGATACTGTCTATGTTGAACGTTCTTGCTATACTACC